TCCTCTGCCTCTGAATTCTCTTCAGTATTAGTGATCAAAATTTTGTGTAGGAATTTATAGGGAAAAAAATTTACTACTCAAGAACAGCAGAGCTATATTAGTCATAATATGGAAACATCATAGCCCCTGAGGATGGGTTTGCACCACAATAAGGGATAAAATATTTACATTAGAATATATAGAGAAATCTTCAAAATTCTTTGAGAACAGCAGGTTCATGAAATGCTAGTATAGATTCTCAGGTAATGCAGATTCAAGTTTGTTCCAATCATGGTTGCGGGGGAGGGTGGGATCAAATGTTGATGTGGGAATAGAAAAAATCCATCTGTTTGTTGGTGGGGGGATCAAATATTGAAATTTATTATACAGTGTTCTTTATTTCATATGCAAGATTCTTGATTGTCTACTATAAACATGGATACTGTAGAAGCACAAATTTTCGTGGGGATATAATTTCATTGATTTGTCATCTAAAAAAGGTTTCATTGGCATTAAATTTTGTTGTTTTGAAATTAAATTTATTCAATATATAATAATATAAAAATTTCATGTGGGATTTTGTGTCGCAACGAAATTAACGAAATTTAATCCCCAATGAATATTTCTGTTTTGCGGTATATTACATGTGTTGTCAATTACACAAATAAGTACAAAGTGAACTGCACCCCTCCCCCTGCATAAATTTCCATGATTATGGTATAACGGGGGCCAGTGAATGGACCCATTCCCAATACAGTACAGGTGCTCTTTACTCAACAGAATGGTGTTGTTTCTAGCTCACTGGATCCTAAGGAGCTTTTCTGGTCAAATTAACATGTCCATCTGTAATTGTAACTTTTCACATTTTCAATTTCTCCAGAAACAACAGGACCAATTTCAATCAAATTTGGCACAGTGTATCCTTGAAGGAAGGACTTTAATTTTTGGTCCTATGAAGGGTCTTGCCCCCTTCAAAGGGGAAATAATCAAGAAATGGCAAAAATAGGATTGGGTTATTGAAAAATCTCCAGAAGATACATTTGGCAAGAAGAGAAAACTTAGAAAGCCTGTTTATAAAATGGCTCATAGAGATAGGGAAGTGTCAAAATAGGTGTTCACAGTTCTAAATGGGAATTTATAGGGAAAAATTCTTTCTTTAAAAGTTTTAATTGGGAATTTATACAAAACTGTCTTCAAAATAAAGAAAAAAAGTTGATTTTTGATTCCATATATATTATAATGCTGGGGTGCTTTTGTAATGCAGATTTGAATTTGTTCCTCAGCATTTTTTTTTTTCCTTATATAACTGGTACCGATAAACGGTACCATTCCCAATGCCAAAAAATGTTAATTTTTCCCAATTTTGAGGCTAAAAATTCCCAATTCAACTGTCAAGCAACAGACTATGATGATGTCGTATTTCTTTTTCTATGAAACTTTGTACAAGTTGACTAATTGTTTCACTTCCGCTTAAATCGAAAGTAGAGATATCGTAATATGGCGGGAACTGTGGTGTAGACAGTGTAGTGTCACACATTCTGACAAATTGAAAGCAGGAAATTGTGAAAAAAGGGACATTGATATGAAAAACAATAAATACTTGTGTATTCTTTAAAACACGGAGTAATAGGTAATGAGGTTGGAATAAACGCAAAATACATTTCATTTGTTTAAATGACAAAAATTTCTCCTATGTTCAACTTCGATGCTTTTTTCCCAATTGAACCGGTACCCTTTCCCAATGGGTAGAAAAAAAATCGCTTTTCCTAGGGTCAGGGTGAGGCCAAGGTAGGAAATTAACATTTTCATGAGAAAATATAGGAAATTAAAATATTTCATGAGAAGCAGAGCCACACTAAGTTATACGAGGGTTGTTCCAGAAAACACAAACTTTTTGTATGTTTCATAAACTATCTGACCAAAATTTTTCCTTTTTTAGCTCACCTGAGCTGAAAGCTCAAATGAGCTACTGTAAACGTATTACATTAAGCTATGTATTCTTTTAAGCACCTTTTGCAGAAAGCAATTTCAAGTACAACACTTAACATCTTGCACATGTAGATATAAATAAAAACATAAGGAAATGCGCTAAATCAAATCTTCGCTAACTTGTTCAAAAATCAATTTCCGCCAAATATCGTACATGTGAATATAATATATTTACAGAATTCTGATCACATTTTGTCCGTCATCCTTCTCTCTGTCTGTCTGTCTCTGTTCTTACCAGAGATACACTGTAAGGTTAATTGTGCATATTTTCCAGTATTCTGGGGTTATTTTTGTATTGTGGGATTAACCTCTCAATAACAGGGTTTATTTATGCTTTATATGACCTTCGCGATGTTAGAATAACTAAATATTGACTTGACCCCATAAGGATTTTCAGACATGTTATGGATGTGTCTGTAGTAGGTATGGACATGAGCAACCCCATACTGAAGTGCACCCCTCTTATTAATAAAAATATGAACATAAAACTGCAGTATGAAAGAATGTAAAAGTATTTGGACATAATTATGCACCCCACAAAAGACTTTAAGTACCAAAAGTAACCCTGACTGTTATCTATTGCACATAATGTATCTTTTGTGTGCATGTCTGTAAACTTCACATTTTCGACTTCTTCTCCAGAACCAATGGGCCAATTTCAACCAAACTTGCCACAAAGCATCCTTGGGTAAAGGGGATTTAAGTTTGTTCAAATGAAGGCCCGTGCCGTCTTCCAAGGTGAGATAATTAAGAATTGGTGAAAATTTGGTGGTATCTTGTAAAATCTTCATCTCAAGAACCAGTGGTGGCTGGGCCAAAAAAGTGAAACTTATATGGAACCTTCATTACATAGTGTAGATTCAATTTTTTTCAAATCATGACCCCAGGAGTAAAGTGGGACCACAATGGGAAATCAAAGATTTACATAGGAATATATAAGAAAAAAATCAGTAAAAATCTTATGAATATGACAAATCATGCCCTTGCTGTTCTTTAGAAGAAGATTTATTATGATTTTTCCTATGTATTCCTTTGTTAAACTTTGATCGGCATTTGTGGTGCCACCCTACCCCTTGGGGTCATGATTTGAACAAATTTGAATCTTCATTACCTGAAGATCCTTCCATATAGATATGACCAATCATGGCTTTGCTGATCTTGAGAAAAAGGTTTTTAAAGATTTTTTCTTATGTATTCCTATTTAAAACTTTGATCGCCCATTGTGACCCCACCCTACCACCAGGGGTCATGATTTGAACAAACTTTATTTTACACTATTGAGGATGCTTCCATATAAATATGACTAATCATGGCTTTGCTGTTCTTGAGAAGATTTTTAAAGATCTTTCCTATGTAAAACTTTGATTGCCCATTGTGGCCCCACCCTACCCCCTGGGGTCATGATTTGATCAAACTTTAATCTACCCAATCTGAGGATGATTCCAAATAAGTTTAATATTTTTCGCACAGTTCTTGTGAAGAAAATATTTTTAAAGATGCCATTAATTTTTCATGAATTCGTAATTATCTCCCCATGGAAGAAGGCATTGCCTTTCATTTGAACCAACTTAAATCCCCTTTACCCAAGGATACTTTTAGGCAATTTTGTTTGAAATTGGCCCAGTGGTTCTTGAGAAGAAGTCAAAAACGTGAAAAATTGACAGACAAATGGACAGACAAACGGATGCCGGACAAAATGTTAAACAATGCAACTCTGTCCAGGCCCCTTTAAGAATTTTGTTTTAATCTGATGAAGAACAGCAGGGCTAAGGTTACTCAGAAATACAGAAATATGCATTGTTCTAGCATTTATATTATTAAGAAAATGTACTAATATAAAATAAAACATTTTCTTTACCTTTTCATCGTTGAAAAAAAAATTGAAAATATATTCAAGAGGACTTTTCAAATTATGTGCATTGTAATTCTGAGATGTTTTCCAGATGTGATATTTGTTGAACAACAGCTCATATTAGGTATTGATCTGCATTTGTGAGTCTAATTATATATGTTGTAGATATCAAAATCAAAATGAAATAGTCATATAGTCCAAGATGTACACCTAAGACTTGTTTCATGGGGAAAAAAAGATATATTAACTGTGTAAATAAAATAGTTAAACCTCCGCATGATCATAATATCAAAGAGAAAAGTAGATCTTTTATATGTCTGTAGTCTTGGACTATATTCTTTTGTAATTTAACATGTCTTTAGTGTTCTTTGAAACCTTTAGCAATCGATTTAAATGAGGGATCTTACTATTTTAGTCTATATTTAAACTTGGCTATATACCAATCTTGGTGTTTCTAGTGGTTTAAACATTTAGTGTGGTTATCTGCCTGTAGTTTATAGAGCAGATAACATGCAGTATTTACATGAGCTGACAGTCTTACAGCATAGTGATAGGCTTAGCTGTTACAGTACCGAGACACCCTAGACACTGATGGTGCTGGCTACATGATATTGATTTTTGTCACTTTTATATCATGTTGCACAGTCTCTGATACAAGGGACAACACATTGAAATGTATGATACTTTTTTATTAAACATGTTTACTGGATTAAAGGTTTCTCTTTTTACCATATAAAATGCAGCAAATTAAGTGCTTATTCTTCTATGTCCAAAAATATAATATGCATTTTAATAATAAAAAGTGACTTTTGATCAAGCTAAGTCTATTCTTGACTTGCTGCAGAATGTTGTTTTAAGTTAGAATGCAGGAAATGTAATAATTTTATGGTAACACCTAAAATTACACCTTGACATCTGGGTTTGATGGAGCATTTATCATAGGAATAAGAAATGAATATATTACACATATTATATTATTAACTTGTGAGTGTTTGTACAGCACTATTGTACAGGTGATTTGTAGACATGCTTTAATTATAGTTGTGTGAATGCAGTCGATTTAACTATGGTCTAAAGCACACACTTAAAAAAATGTATGTTTCAGACCCCTGTACACCCACTTTGATCCGCACTTACTGGGGCAAATGCCAAAGACTACGTAGTCATGTGACACTTGGCACATGCGCAATAAAACTGTTTAATGTAGCTCTGATGAGCCTGGTTCTAACTTGGCCTCGCCAAAGGCCTGTTAGCGACGAATTTTATCTGGATATTCGGTTTTAAAATAAGCAATAAGAATGTCTCATCACCGGTGCTATGTATAGACGTATTTTGTAACCTCTGATGTTCGTTAATTTAAGCGTAATCTGTGATAGTGCAATTTCCAGGGTAAGCCTTGGGAAAGTCGCCATTTCAATTTTCATTCCGAAAGGTGAGTTTACTTGTCGTGTGTTCTGTTCCGCTTCTTTATTGTTTGTTGTTAAATCGGTTTGATGTGGATCAAAACTTGGAGTTCCATGTATTTGTTTCACATAATGTAGAATTGTATGTTGTGGTTGCACAAAAAAAATCTTGTGGAAGAAGGTGTCATTTGATTGGTGGGAATGCAGACTGTTTGTCTTCTTGTAGGACGCAGTCCAGACGGGCACACATTTGTAAGACGGGGAGGTGCATTAAATGTAGCGAACGTTTACAATGTAAATATAAACATGGAGGAAAAACTTCAATAATTTAAAACCTGCAAAATATCGACAAGCAGGTATCGTTCTTCAAAATGGCTACCACCGGCTCTTAATTATATTCAAAATGGAGGAATGTGGTCGGCAAAAATAGCATTGTTAGTGTCGATTGATTTTGTTATGTTCTTTAGTTCAGCTAAGATATCACGACTCCCAGCTACTGACTGTTCATGTAATTTTGTATGTACGGCTTGTAATTAGTTGAATTGAAAGTTCAGAATTTCAACTTTCTTCTGTGGGTGGCAATATTAGTAGTCCATATAGGTTCAAAGATTTCTGGTGCGTTTTTGTTGTTTGTTTCTTTTTTTGAATGGGTGGGTATTGACAACTTATTTGTGATTTACAAATAGTTTTGTTGGCCAAATGAATTATAATGCATTCTTAAAAGAAGAAGGTATGGTTTTAGCTCTATTGTGCCCTAGAAATTTAATGTTTTCAAAAAGTTTTCAAACTGGCTTAAATATTAGTTGAGTATATGACTGTTATAAATCAGGAAAGAATATAGCATGATGGAGTACCATTCTGGATATATGACGTCATTAATTTGATGCATTTCTCTCTTTTAAACAGAAAAGGCCTCAAAATGACCCATTTCAAGGGTTCTTTTCCTTAAGAAAATAGTGTCCACAGCCGTCGCCCACGTTAATTTTTAGATATGTTGTGTAAAATTCTTTGAAAAATCACATATCTCAAAATCTTTGTGGGCGATGCCTGTGGACAATATTATCTGAAAGAAAATTCCATTGAAAATTGATGTCTTCTGCAACTTTTTAAGAAAATACGGGAAAATGCACAAGTTTATGACGTCACAATTAGCATTGAGAAGGTCATGTGAGAAAAAAGATTTGTATGATCTTTCTGCATGGAATTTCAATAATTTAAAAAGCATGAGTTTTAATTTTTTACATCACTTTTATTTTTAAAGAAAAACACAGGGCAAGATTTGTATTGAAACCGTACCTTGTTCTTCAAGCATTTTATTATTTTTGTTGTTTTAATGAATTAAAAAAAAATGATATGTTATATCAGTACTGTGTAAAATCATTGCAGTGTGATTGGTTGAAATGATTATCTTTAATCTGGAGCAATTCTATGAATGGTCATAGTATTACAGAAGTGGTTACTCTTGAAAGTTCCACATGGAAATTATTTATTTGCCAAATCATTATTATTATTATTATTATTTGTTAATTTAAAGTATATGGGGAAGGAAAGACAGACTGCATTTATGACTTGTGCCTTTCTTAGGTGTCTAGGTGTTTCCGATTAAATTTGTTTCTTTAGCATGTTAAATGCAAGAGTTTTAAATATTGATTATTGTATTATAAAAAAGCCCATGTAGAGAAAAGATTATTATAGACATGAATATAATTATGGTTTAAAGTTGAATAAAAGGATGATAGTGTTGTTCAGGGTATACTTAATGGCCTGAGCCTCCTTATTTTAACAATATCCTTGATATTAATACAATGTCCTTTGTACAGACAGAGAATGTGATACAGAGATTTTTAATGGACCTGTCTTATACTTGTTTAAAGTCATATCAATTCTAGGTTGGAATATAATTTAAAGAATAAAATGATGAAACAAATCAAGCAAGGGTTTAGAATTGCCCTGTCCCATTGCACCCATAGGCAAGTGGAAAATTGTCTTTGGAAATTAAGTTATTGTCATTTGTGCCAGTCTATTCCATCCAAATAATAAAATCTAGAAACAAATCTTGAACAGGTCGAGGAAACTATTTTCTGTGACGTCGGAATAAATTTACATGCTGAATGAGGCACCCAACGTGACTGGCAAACTGACCAATCAGCTAAATGAGTTGCATTATGGGTTACTACAAAAAATACTACATGTACGTTTTGAAAAGGCCAGTTTTTGAAATCGCTCTCGGAAAAACATGATGCATTTTTGCAAGCGTTTTACACACTTAATATAATATGTACATCATTATCTACTAGTTCCATGCTCACATTTACATACAAATGTTTTACAACGATGAAATTTGGGTTTTCTCCACTCCATTGTATAAGTCCGTTTGTTGACAATAGCCTGGCAGTTTTTCCCGTGCTGTACTATCAGTCGGTATGAATTTCACGTGACTTTCCATAGTCCAAAACAAATCGACACTGAGGTGTACAGTAGTACTCACATATTTCATTGTTTACTACGCACACAACTTCGATATATATGCTACTCAATACACGTTTTATGATCAATGTACATGGGAATTAAAATACCGTACAGCAATAGACTTATGTTTTTTATAAACTGCATTACTTTTAAACTTTTAATTTCTAGTAAACAAATAACAAAGTAACAATGAACAACACCAGTAGCATGGCAAATTTACGAATATAAAGTTATAAAAACTTGGTTCTTATTTACTTGTGAAGACTTTGTGAGCGGTATTTCAACATACTATTTAACAGGGAAAATTGACTTTGTTTGTTAATGTGAGCATGGAAAATCTTAATTAGTACCTATTCTTCGTGTTTTTCACAAAAACATTAAAAATAATTATTAGTTGACTTTCCCGGAGTCATTTGAAATCGCGTCCTAAATTTGCCTGACCCACATGTTTGTAGTAAAATATAAACATGTAGTAGACCATCATGCTTTTCGGCTCATTCATTGGATTGGACGATAGCTGGCTGTAAGCACCTCTGTGCGCAATGACAACAATATCCATATATGGTAGATTCCTCGACCTGTTGAATATTTTGCTTGAAATTAAACATGAAAAAAAAAGCCACACTTCATAAGGTTTACTTAAACTACCTCAGCAGGTTGAATATACCTATAAAGGGTTGTAAACAAACACCAATTCACCAACACCAAACCAGAAATAAGGCTGGAAAAATAAAACTTGTGTGATAAACACTAGTAATTTCAGATTGTAAACTAATGTGATAAGTATTAGCTTTCCTAAAAAAGATTGTCTAATGTGAACAAATTAATTTCTATGCTAAGAATAAGAAAAATTAAACCAAGCATCATCACCATGAGTCTAAGACCAGGACTTTTTTAATGCCCTGCCATGAATATGTTCTGGGCATACTGTGTTTGTCATGTCCTTCTGTCACATTTTGCATTTAGCTCAGTTTCAAAGAAACTATTCAAGACATTTTTATCAATCTTCATAATATGCTAATACATATTGGTGAGGGCTATTCAGCTGCATCAACATTTTTTAAACCTTTACCTTTCCATAGACCTTGACCACACTTTTTGTTAATGTGTTTATTTCAACTTCATCGGCATTTTTTGACCTTGACCTCTTTTTAGGTCACCTGAGTTTACTCAGGTGACCTATTGCTATCTGTTTTCGTCCGTCGGCGTGCGTCGTCCGTCGTGCGTTAACATTTGAACATTTTCAGCTTCTTCTCTGGAACCACTGAACCAATTTCAACCAAATTTGGCACATAGCATCTATATGTGAAGGGGAGTAAAAATTGTGAAATTCATGACCCCTACCCCCCTGGGGCCTGAGGGGTGGGGCTAAAACCATCAGAATTAATGCAATCTTTAAAAATCTTCTTCTTTACTCCTGGGCATCAAGCAGGCAAACTGTTGGCATGAATGTAATAAGCATTGAGCCCTCTACCTAAATTGTGAAATTTATGGCCCCAGGGTCAGGGGTTCTGGTGCTAGGGTGGGGCTCTGTTGAATATGTAGTGAAAAGCATTATTCTTAAAAAATCTTCTCCTCTGCTCTTCGGTATTTAGGAAACAAACAATATGCATGGTTATGATGAGGAAAGGTGTCTCTTCTAAAATTGTGAATTTCATGGCCCCTGGGTCAGGGGTTCTGGTGTTAGGGCAGGTATCTAATGATTATATAGTGAAAATGCATTAATTATTCAAAAATCTTCTCCTCTGCTCCTGGGTACTAAGCCGATGAACTAAGTACATAGTTATGATGAGAAAGAGTGCCTCTTCCAAAATTGTGAATTTCGTGGCCCAAGGGTCAGGGGTTCTGGTGTTAGGGTGGGGCTTTGTTGAATATATAGTGATAATGCATTATTTCTTTAAAAAGCTTCTTCTGTGCTCTTGGATATTATGAAAACAAAATAAATACATAGTTATGATGATGAAAGGTGCCTCTTCCAAAATTGTGAATTTCATGGCCCCAGGGTCAGGGGTTCTGGTGTTAGGGCAGCGTTCTGTTGAATATACATGTATAGTGAAAATGCATTATTTCTTTTAAAAATCTTCTCTGATCCAGGGCAAACAAACTGAAGGCATAGTTATGATGAATAAGGGTGCCTATTCCTATGTTGTGAATTTCATGGCCCCCTGGTCAGGGGTTCTGGTTTTAGGGCGGGGCTCTAATGATTACATAGTAAAAATGCAATAATTCTTTGACAATCTTCTCCTTTTCTCCTGGGTAATAAGCCGATGAATTAAGAGTATAGTTATGATATGTAAGGGTGCCTGTTCCAATATTGTGAAATTCATGGCCCCTAGGTCAGGGGTTCTGGGGTTAGGGTGGGGCTCTGTTGAATATATAGTGATAATGCATTATTTCTTTAAAAATCTTTTTCTTTGATCCTGGGTATTTAACAAACAAACTGATGCATAGTTATGATGAGTAAAGGTGCCTCTTCCAAAATTATGAATTTCATGGCCCCTGGGTCAGGGGTTCTGGTGTTAGGGTGGGGCTCTAATGATTACATAGTAAAAATGCAATAATTCTTTGAAAATCTTCTTTTCTCCTGGGTATTAAGCTGATGAACTAAGAGTATTGTTATGATATGTAAGGATGCCTCTTCCAAAATTGTGAATTTTATGGCCCCTGCATCATGGTTCTGGTGTTAGGGCAGGGCTCTAATGATTACATAGTGAAAATGCATTAATTCATTGATAATCCTCTGCTCTCTTTCTGGGTATTAAGTAAGCTTACTCAATGTAAAATTATGATGAGCAAGTGTGCCTCTTTCGAAATTGTGAATTTCATGGCCTCTGGTTTAAAACATGAATCCATTGTGGCGAAGTTGTTGCATGATACTCAGGTGACCTATAAGGCCCGTGGGCCTCTTGTTTTAATTAAACTTCATATGCTTATAAATATATGGAGGAATGCTTTTCATTTGCACTGAACTACATCAAAATTTGTTGACCCGGATCTTCCCTTTGACCTTGCTTTTCTAAATTTACATTTCAGTCTCAAAGAAACTTTATATATTTAAAACTCAGTTTTAAAGACTATTCAAGATATTTTCATCAAATTTTGTACCCTAAAACAAATTTGCATGTTGCATAACTAATGAACCTTTGGCAGGGCATTTTTGTTCGATGGACATATTTCTAGTTCAATATGTTTCTGGGATAGAGTTGTTGTTTTTTTTTTTCTTAAAAAATGTTGGGAGTATCAAAAAAAAAAAGAAATGGAAAGCACCAAAACTTATTTTTATCATTTTTGAGGACAGATTATTTAAAATCTGCCAGCCCTCCCTTTCAGATTCAAATGGCATTCCCTTGTGTAATTTGATAAATAGTAATGAATAAATGATACCAAGAATGTTTGTTTGACTTCCCATGCATCTAAAGGAGTTTTGAACAATAGTCTAAAAGATGTGGATAAGGAATTTGTGGCATAATGTGAAGTGTTATTCTGATGATTATTGGACAAATGTACTAACAATTTTATTGAATAGTGATACATGATTCAAAAATGCTTTAAAAGTATATCGAGGAAAGCATGGTAAATTTTAACTTCATTGACCCTTTATTTGACATTCAAGCAGCAAAAATCCAGTGAGTAAAGGTCTGACTTGGTGTCATGCATTTAATGTGCACTTCCAACTTTGGGTAAAAGATTAATGAAGAATTGTTTTAAAAAAATGCATTTTTGCACTATTATTGTAAATCTCGAATAAGAAAATAATTGTCAAAACAAGCACATTTTAAAACTAGGTCATCATTTTGTTCATTTTGTTTTTGGTTTGAAGAATTTTTATGTTTGAAAGAAAAGATGTGTTAATTCATATTTAAATTATTAGCATCATGTTTTATTTTTTACTGTTTTAGCTTCATCCCAAAGACTGTATATCATCTTGCCTTAGATTTCGTCATTTTGTGTGGTATGTACAATGGATTTGTAGTTTATCTACCTACACAACTAATCTTTTCAAATTTAATATTCTATTAAATTGTACCCTTCCATGCTTACTTTAAAACTTTTCTTTGTCATTTGCAGTAATATTTGTTGTTGCCAAACTGAAACTTCACACTGCCTCATAGGTTAAAATCTCAAGTAAGTAGAAGTTGAGCAAAGGAGAAAATATGTTTTGATGCAAGTAAATAGTAAAAGAAAATCTATAGATTACCAAAACATACAGCAGCACCTGTTAAAAATAATTTGTTACTCTTATTTTTCAGATATCATAAAGTCATACTTCAGTATCTTGTATATTCAGCTTTTAAGAGGTAATTTTCTAATTTAAAAAAAGAATAACAACAAGATTTTGAAGGAAATATTAGAATTTTTTTAAGAATTGACATGGTTGATATGTATAATCTGTTGCTTTACAGATTATCTTGCTGCCATAGGTTGTGTTGTGATTGATTGTGACTTCTCATGGTGTGTGATAAATAGCCAAACGGGTAAGTGTACAGTATGGTTAGAAGTCTGGTAAATCATCCATTGATGCTTTATTTTTGAAATTTTGTCATCCATTGATTTTAAAATATTAATATTTTTATGCCCCTGTAATTGAAGATTTTGGGGCATCTAGATTTGGTCTGTTTGTCTGCAAAACTTTAACCTTGCCCATAACTTTTGAATGGTTGGTGCCAGGGCTTTCTTGTTTCTTAAGTATTCTGTGACAGGACCTTTCTTTGGGTACCAACATTTTTGACCTTGGGGTTCAACTTACCTTTGAAAAGCTTTTACCAAACTTTAACCTTGGATAAAACGTTTAACAGTTAGTGGTAGGGCTTTTTATATTCTTTGTGACAAAACCTTCCTTTGAATACCTACATTTTTGACCTGATGACCTTGGAGTTTGACCAGGACTTCACATTTCACAGGTGTATTCCTTGTGAAAAAACCTCTCTTTGGAGATCAACATTTTTGACCTCTTGACCTATGAATTGACCTACATTTGAAAAACATTAATATTGGGCATGAGCTGCCATGTGAGGGCATCATTGTTTCACAAATACATATTGTTTTATTTTTATTTGTAGATTGTTACCTCATAATCTTTGACCACAAATTTTCTAATGAAAAATGTAAGTATTATCCCTATAAAATAATGTTGATCTACTCACTGTTAAGATTAATCTAAAACATCTTTATATATTTAAAAAATAGGAAGATTTGTCCATATAGGTCAGCTTTTGTAACTGTTTGTGTTAGTACATGAAGGCTTCTGTTCGTTTTAAGATTTGGTTAATTTTACTTTTCTCTTGGGACTTATTTTCCATGTCAAATTGAAATCGAGTTTTTGTTTCATTTGCAGACTAAAGAAACACCAGTGGAGAATAAAGAGAAAGTGTGTTGTGAATCATTCCTAAGGTATGTAAAACATTTCAAACCAATTCTTGTACCTTGTTATATATAATTTTTATATATTTTTTATTTTTCGGTCTTATTGTTTGAGTACAGATATATTACTTTCAAACCATAAAGATGTGCATTTATTATTTTTTTATGGCAATTTTATTTCCTTAGTTGTGTTAACAGCAGCAATATTGAATGTGTATTCATTGCATTAAATACATACAAGTATAATGTGCATTCATTTCCTTTAGGTACACAACACAGTAGTGCATATACCAGTGCAACGAATTAAGATTTGGTTTAATAAAGTGCCAAAGTACAAATGCAATGTAAGTACATGTATCTGAAAAATATCTCTGAGTTCTCAAAAAAAACTTTTTAAAAAATTTTAGAAGCCACTCTTCTGGAAATAATGCCATGGTTGTGGCCTTTTTTTTGCAGCTGCATTGAAGAAACCAACTTTGCCTGCTGCGACCCCTGGTAATGTGAGTAATTGGAATGCCAGCAGTAGTTGGGGATCAGGGGGAAGTGGGGGCGGAGGAGGTGGAGGGGAAAATGAAGATGATGGGGGCTGGAGTCAGGGACCACCAGCCTCTGGAAGTGGATGGACCAGTAAGAGTAATAGATTTTAATTACTGTCAAAAATAAACAGCTTTTAAAATTTATTTTATAATTATAATTTTGCATTGTGTCTTAATATTTCCCATTTTAAAGTTTTTATGTATTTCTAATTCAAGGTGGAGCAGCATCAAATGGTTCCAGCCATAATCTACTAGACTGGCCAAATTTTGCAACAGAAGCTGGCTCTGATTGGCAAAGTCCCACATCTCAAAGTATAATAGTGGACAGGAATGATAAGGAGGCATGGCCATCCATTGGAGGTGATCATTCTGAAACAACATCTGAAAATGACAATGTCTCTGTCAAATCAGAATCTGTGATATCTGTTAGTAGCTTTGGCCAAGAGAGCACAAGCAACAGTGGAGGTTCAAGTGCCATTCAGGTCCCAACTTCTTCCAGTCTTTGGAGTTCAGGTTCTACTACTTACCAGGTTTCAGAATCCAGTTCCTGGGATTTTGGAATTGGTACTCCATCCACAGCAGCTTCAACTGGAGGATGGAGCAGCACCAATACTAGTCTTTCTAAAACCAGCCAGGGGCAACCTATGCAAGGTGCAACAGTAGCCCCTGGTACTGGTGAGAATCCAGCAATCACTACATCCTCAGGATGGGGAGCTGGAGCCCCTGGAACTCTCCCCCAGGGACAAAACTCAAATCCGGGAGGGAACAAGCCACAGCAGAGTGCAGTACAAATACAACAGTCATTGGCAAGCAGTATTGGAAACAGCACCAGTGCTCAAGCTATCACACAGCAACGTTTAATCACAAGTCAGTCTTCTATCGGGTCACAGGGCAACAGTGCATTTCAAAGTAATTCCAAGTCTCCAGTTGACAACTGGGGAACAGTGGGCTCTGGGGTTGTTGGAAATGGAAGTGACGCAGGTAAAGGGAACAGTGGCAATAATGGACAAGCTCAATCCATGGCTAGTGGGTGGGGAACAACAACAGTGGATACTAATAAAAGTGCAGCTGAAAAATGGCCAATTAGAAATCCAAGCACAAGTGAAGATTGGGCTAATCCAACTGCTCCCGGATCACAATGGGGCACCCAAATAACTCCCTCCAGAGCTGGTCCTGCTCCACAGTGGCCAGGTGCTAACAATGCTTTGCCAGCTAGTGGACAAAGCCAAAATCCAGCTAGATCTCAAACAACATGGGCCCAGGCAGCTGGAAAAGGCCTTACTACAATTCCCTCCAACACAAGTCCAAGTGCTACTGCTGCCAGTAATTCTGAAGTCAGTGAGTATGACAAAGCTATTGTAAGCGCCATTGAAAGCCATGACGGATGGGGAAAGAAACCTGTTAATCAAGATTCAACATGGACAGTTGAAACTTCCCCAAAACTCCGACGTAAAGGATCAACAGCAACTAATGCATTGCCAGAAAAGTCCAACACAGTGCCAGCTCCCCAAGGAGCTCAAGCAGCTCAAGGTGGAAATGGCAACATGTGGAACAACAATAATGGTACAGCTATTTGGGAATCTAATAAAGAACCAGCACAAGCTGGACAATGGAACAATAGAGTAGACCCCAACCAGTGGAGTGGAGTTCCAATGAAACCAATCACAAAGGACCCAGCTAGTTCTTGGACTGGAGGACAAACCAAAGAATCACAGGAATCCAGTCAGTGGGGTTCAAAGACAGAAACAGGATCATGGGGAAATTCTGGAGAGGCCGGTGGAATTTCAACTTGGGGTGAGGGACAGGCCAGGGGCACAGGAGAAGTTGATGATGGTACTGCTGTTTGGGGCAATCCAGCACCAAATGCCCAGAAGCCTCCTAATTGGAACAGCACTAGTATGCCACAAAACAACCAAAACCCTGCAGTTGCCAACATTGGTCAAGTTCCCAAGAACTGGGGAGACTCCCAGGATGCCAGCTGGCAGGCCAATATGACACAGCTTCCACCAGTAAGTGGCATACATTTGCATATAAAATACATCCTATCTTCATTTACATGGATGTTTAATTTTTGAAAATTTGTTTTTTAAAATGTAATAATTCTTATTGGAAAAGTGCCCACGAATAGAAAATTTGTGGTGTATTCACATGTTAGTTGTACACTTGCAGAATCGGCCTGGTGGTTGGGGTGGTGGTGATTCTAATCAGTGGAATGCTGCTGTCGGTGGTCCCAAACCCAAGCCTCCTTCTACCTCTAGCTGGGGAGACGAATGGAACCCCACTGATAGAAAGGTAAGAACGGGGCCTGTGGTGGGTGGAATGGGAGGGGCTCAGCCCCCTTCCAACCTGGGGACAGATAGGGACATGTATTGGAACAATCCACCCCAACAAGGCAATAACCCCACAGCTACTTTCAACTGGGGAGAAAAGGACATGGTTTGGAACACATCTGATTACAATAAGGTAATAGTAAAAATCATGACAGATTCACATTTCAGACTTCAACATTTGGGTGTTAAGCATGAGGGGAATAAACTCACCACTGCATGTCTGTTACATGACACAAAACAAATCCCTAACATCTTGAAACCTATTTTGTTTTACGTTACTTAACCTGGAGATGGTTCAGCAAGTTTTGTTTTAATGTGAAAAAGAAAAAAGTTGGTAAAAAAACAACTTTATATGGCCATGCATAACTGAAATTCTCAATTATTTGTTATGTCCTGTTCATTGGTTTTCTTGTATTACTAGGATGATATGATGTGGAATGAAGATGGGTCTACTAACTGGGATGATACTGACATGGGAACTTGGAATGACACAGCACAAGAAAACAACTCCTCATGGAGCAGTGCCGCAGGGTGGAAAAAAGACAAAAATAAAAACATTAAGGTATTTACATATACATGCAGCAGCATTTGAGAGCTTCATAATAGTGAATATTTTTATGTCACGATATGACACATATTGATGAGAGCAACATTTTTTGACTTTGACCTTATTTTTTTTTGAGTCGGCGGCTCCGCGAGCCAGCTACTCCTTGTTAACACAGCTGTAAAAATTGCCACAACTGTAAAAATTATCACTCATTCATCAAGGTGATTCATACGCCAAATATAATAGTTCTAGCAAAAAATGCTTTTGTTTGAGTGACTGCATAAACTTAAGAGGTATAAATAGTGTAAAATATCATATTGTTACATTATTTATGTCTTTTGTGTTTTTTCAAGAAAAATTCAATTAAATATCTGAACAATTTACAATTACTGTGTATGAATATATGTGCAATTAGTTAGGTGGATCTAATCTTCCCATCTGAAGTTTATTTATCATTGACCTAGATTATTTACTCATTTACTGCAACTAGTGTGCTTGAAAAATCTATTTTTAGAATCCAGGTTTGCAGTGTGAACCATTGACCTAATTACTCAATAACACTGACCACTACAGCTAGTGTGCTTAAATTTATTTTTAGAATCCAGGCATGCAGTGCTGCTTTACACAATAATGTCGATAAATAGGCCAACAATATAAAATTTTCTAAGATAATCATGGTGATGTTATTTACAGGTACTTTGGTCATGGTTTATAAATATATGCATCTTTTTCAAATATTAGATTATTAGTTACTTAACATAAACATAATCATAATGCTTATTATAGTAAAACTGTGTGAATACATGGATATAGTTAGGCAGATCTAAAAAAAAATTACCCATAGATATGTCTAATTTTTTTTTCCATTACTGTTGGTTGTTTCTTAGAGATTGTTGAGCTTATGTTTATATGCTAAAAAATTTTTCACTGTTATTTTTTCTCCTTTTTTGGTTTAAAATGATTTCCCTCCCCCTTTTTTCACTTTATTGTAGTTTTTTGTTTCTTAATGGAACACTGAGATCTATTCAGAGTTAGGATAATTATAATTAAAAAATTCTGAAGTGAAGTCTTTTTAATAATTCAGTTGACTTGGAAAGGTGGGAGATAAACCCTTTACCTTTATTTACTTTTGGAGGTGTGGGTTTTATTGAGACCCTTTCAAATTTAAGCAGATGTATTCAGATCCCTATTCAAAATTTTTGTCACATTATGTAATCTTATTTATGTATTTACAAACCCAGACTTTAAATAAATTACAGAAATCCCATGTGAGGTGGCATTGAAGCCCTTCATTTTTTAATTGAACGTACATATTCAATCTCTTTGATGCAATATAAACTGAATATAAGGTATGATGTCCAGTTGTATGAAAAAGCTCATTAAACTCGAGCGATTCGACTCTCAGGCCCTTCAGGCCTTTGTTTTTACCTTGACCTCACTTTTCTTAAATAAATGTTTAGATCCGTCTTAAAGGAACCATTCAAGATAGTTTTATCAAACTTAATATGCTAATACATACTGAAGTAAGCTATGCAACTGCATCAGCATTTTTTTTTTTACCTTGACCTCAATTTTCTTTAATAAGTGTTTAGCTCAGTTTTAAATATACCATTCAAGATATTTCTATAAAACTTTGTATGCCGATACATACTGATGAGAGCTATTCAACTGCATCAACATTTTTATGCCCCCGCTTGAAGAAGGGAGGGCTTATTGCTTTGCTGCTGTCTGTCGGTCAGTCTGTCTGTTGGTCCACCAACAGTTTCCATCCATTTTCTTCACAGGGTTTGCACATACTGAAATGAAATTTGGTATACAGATTTATCATAAGAATATCTAGATCAAGTTCTGTTCTGGAAACAATTGAGCCATTTTTGACAGAGTTATGCCCCTTGGACTTAGAAAATTCCAATTATTGGGGGGGGGGGGGGGGGGCATAAGTGTTTCACAAACATCTCTTGTTTGACCTTGGTCTCACATTTCTTAATTTTGTGTTTGGCTCAGTTTTAAAGAACCCATTCATGATATTTTTACCAGACTTCATATACTGGTACGTATTAGTGAGAGTTATTCAACTGTATCAAAAACTTTTGACCTCGGACTTTCCTGTGAACTTGACCTCACTTTTCTCAAATTTGCTTTTTGATTAGTTTTAAAGAAACCATTTAAGATATTTTTATGTAAGCTATGCACTTGTACATAATTTGGTGAGAATTTATCATCTTTATCCAATTTTTTTTCGATTTTAAAGTTGAAGAAACTATTCAAGATATTCTGATCAAACTTCATATATTAATACACATTTTCATGTTGCATTACTAATATACACTCAGCGGGGCATTCATGTCCTATGCCTATGGACATATTTCTAGTTTTTAAAAAATTTAAAGAAAATTTGGCATAGTTTAGCTTTTTTACATTATTATAATATTCATGCATGTACATTTGCAGCAGGGCATGTATCCTAAGTTTCCTGGTGGATTTCAGCCCCAGACTCAAATGAGGAGCAGGATGCTTCAGCAACTCATGGAGATGGGTTTTGGGGTAAGTAGCAATTAGAACATTCAAAAGTGAATTGATTCTTGTCTCATTTGAACTTCTTTCATAGCCCT